GAGATATTTTCCCGTGTCGGTTGAAAAGCTAAGATTGTGACCCGCGAGAAACAGTGTTCGTATTAGATTATAGATTTGTGCTAATGAACTCTGAAAGTTGTGACTAGAGAAGGGATCGCGTTTTTGTTCTTGGTTGTAATCTTGTTGCCACGTGAAACGGAAGTGACCTTTGATCCGCCCGTTCGTTATTCGTGCCGTGTGTTACGTTTTGATTATAATTAACGGGATTTAGTTGCGTTTTGAAGTTAATTAAATGTACAATAAAGTTGATAGACCGACATTTTTTTTTAATTTATTAAGCATAATTATGTTACATTATCCAGTACAATACTAGCACATGAACCTCTAGGGGTTTATCTACTAGAGAGTCGTCTTATAAAAACAAAGATGTATTAATATTAAATCACAATAATCCAGTATGAAGTACTTACTACAATAAGTATGGTTGATTTATCAAATATGATTTAAGTTTCAGTTTTGATTTACCGTATGTGTTTTGTAATTCTAGTGGCAAGGCATTAATAAAAGTAGGTACAAGATGGGCCAACTTTCTTGCTCCATAGACATTTTTAGTTTTCGGAAGTACATACTTGTTGGATTTATAAGCTATATTTCGTAGATTTACAGGTTGTTTTCTAAGAATTAGGTATTCTGAATTATTTACTTCAGTCAGTATATTAAATTTAACTTTATCGAAAACATTTATGACTGTAATAATTAAAAAGACCCCGGTCATTATCTATATACTTATTCATAGTGAATTGAAGAAAGAAATTGTCCATTGGTGCCGCCGCTGGAGAATACCATTCCGTGGGGCGGTGTCGGAGTCAGGGTTGCTGCCGACTAAAGGGGTTAAGTCAGGCCCCACATTTTTTACACACTCACAAACACCACTTACATGCACTACACCTATCGCCTGACCGAGCCTAGGGACCAGTCTCCGCTTCTGAACCAGGTAAGTCTCATTAAGTACCTAGTCCATATATATTAAATATCCATAGGCATTTGAGCCCCACACTTAGTTGTCCGTCGAATCTAACAGCTGTATATAACGCTAGTTAAAGAGTCTTTGCTTTCATAATAGTCGGTCATTTTTTGCTTTTTAGCAAATAGAACACAACTTTTGCTGGTTGAAGCCATGGGTGATGGTCTTTTTGTTGAGAATCGGTGCTGACACTTTCGTTACTTTTTACATTACTGGAATGCTTCTTATGTAAGTGGGTGTGTAATGTTGACGTGCTTCCACTTATTTTCAAAATGCTATGACAGTGTTTGCATTTTGCCTTTACTACTACTCTTGGAACGCGTAATCGATACGCTGCTTTAAACGAATAAAATGATTTCAAAATGTAGGATTTCCGTTGCAGTTGTTGTGTCCATAATAGATTTAATTGCACCTGATTGCGCTATTGTTTTTAATACTAATATCGAATCTGGTGTGTTTCCTGATTTAATGAAACAGTAAAGTAATATCTGTATTTAAATCTGTTTTAGTACATTGGACCCCGTTAGTTTTAGACCTATTTCTGCACTATCAACTCTACTCACAATCAGTAAAACTTTATAAAAATAATTTTGGATCAAATGTAATTTTTGATGAAATCATTAGACAGCCAAGACATGATGTCTGCCAGGCAACTGGCAATTTCATTGAAACGGAGGATTAAAGAGAAGCGACTCTATAATGTTGTCGGCGCCTTACAATACATACACAATCCTAATCAATTTTTAAATGAGACTGAGAAAGATGAAGATATATTTAAAAAACCTACGTATGAAGAAATTAAAAATGTGTTCTATCATGCTGCATCCCTGGATGTTGACGATTGCACGACCACATCGACTAATACGATCTCTACTTCAGAAACTCTGTGCGATAGTACTGATCCGTCGCCGCTCAGTTTTAAGGAAAATTAGTAAAATATATACATGACTTAGTTAATTACCATTTTTATTTTGTTTTTTTATTCTATATTGCTACACCTACGTCAAATTCTCACCACTCCACTGAGTTGACTGGTAGAGAATGCCTTAAGGCATCAAGTCCGACCCTTGTATTCTTTTGTAATAATGATTTCTAAAAAGATAAATAAAAAATAAAATAAAATGTATAACCTATGTATTGAAAAAGAGAACATTAAAATCAATCAAAATTGACGAAGATATCGAGTAACTTACAAAAAGCGAACATAGGTACACTCGAATTGAGATTCTCCTCGAAAAATGTACCTCACGTCTAAAAGAACTTTCTGAATCTAGTTATAGATGTTACTGCCGCGGAAGGAAAGGCTGTCCAATCGTATTTGACTTCGAATTGTAGACAGGTTTTGTTGTCATCACTATTGGAGGTAAAATATTGTATTGATGAATTGCATTGATCAGTTATCAGAAAGATGGTGCTGCCCATCTCCTGTTTCAGTTTCTTCAGTCGCCTTTAACAACTCCCACGGGACCATATGGTGTGTTAGCTATTCTGTTACCTACACTACACACCGGTTGATAGTAGGTATTCTAGATATTCTTGGCAAGTTGCTGGAACTGCATAATTTGTTACTTTTTTAATCGTTAAGCCGACAATTAAACGGGATTTATCGAAATATGTTGAACTAGCTGATACCCGCGGCTTTGTCGGCGTTGCTTGATATATTAACAAAGATTTCGATCTTCTCCGCGGCAAGAAAACACATACGATTAAACACGTAATACTTATACAAATCGTTGTTTTTTTTAAACTTTAATAACTTTATATTAAATGAAGATATCACAATATTTTTTTTTTGAGATAAGGGCCGATAGATATAAAAGGGAGATAAGTGTCTTAGAAAACGTAATTGGAATCTATCCAGTAGTTTCTCCGTGAAGCGCGCACAACTGCTAACCTTATTTTATTTTTATAGATAAACCTTGAATATTTATTGTTCTTCTTATTTTTTAAATCCATTTCATTAAATATTTATTTGGCTCCCAGTTATCACATTTGACAGCGTTAATCCACTCATGTTTTATTTCTGCGCATTTTGGAAACTTAAATAAAGCTAAAATATTATCGGAAAAGCTTAATTCATTGGTGTAGGTACATAAGTAGCAAAATAGATTAGAACAATTCATTTATTAATACAATAATTAATGGTTTTACACTTAAATTTTATCATTATCACATAGGAATAAATGATGTCGAAATATTAAAATGTAATTACTACAAGTTTTTCTGATAAAAAAAACTCATTCTTTAAGCGTTTAAAATGATACAAAACGTAGTTGATGTCTTACCTATTATAAACACATCAACACGGTATGGGGATATTTTTAATAACAGTGACCAACTAAAAAAGTACTGACTACATACTTTAAAATATTTTTAATATCAGATTGATTCGAAATTTAAATAAAAGAAAAATGAAATGTGTTGGCGGTAAAAATAAAATTTAATTAGGAGCGAATTTTGTACTCGGAGTAATTGTTGCTTTTGGTGAAAAGTAAATTTTTTTAAAGATGTTAAAAATCAACGTGCTAAGATCCGTGAAATAAAATAAAATAAAATGTCTTATCTGCTTTGAAGAGCACCTTCCGCCCTACCTCAATTGCGTGCATTGTCCCCGTCACCAGTAATCCCAGCACCACTATTCCCAACACTACTACACTAGGAAAGACACATCACCGTCGACAATACGACACGTGTTTCGCCTCTACACGAGACATTATCAGGTGAAGTAGACTCTGCGGTGGCTGTCACGCGACCAAGATTTTCTCTGCGCAGAGTAGAAAATGATCTCTCCGTGGTAGCTACGCTGACCGAGAGAGTCGCCAGTATTTGTAAGTAAGTTTTTAAGTAAGGGTAAGTAATCTTGGTCGCACGTTAAATGATCTGCTCATTCCCGGCATCTATGGGTATGCAGATGACAGCACAGTTGTGGAGAGATACCAACCAAGTGCCCGGGCCAGTCGGGATTAAATCCAGTCAGAAAGAGAGGCTATGGTGAGCGTGTGAGTCTCACGCCACAGGCACAAAAATACAAGCGTGTCTTTTTACCGCTAAAAGGAGCCCGTTCACCGTGGCTACTACTTTCCGGAATGTATCCTTGGAGTACACAAACCGCCTTCAGTTGTTAGGAATAGAATTTTCTCCGAACTTAAACTATGGGCGGTTCATTGAGTCCAGAGCCAAAGCAGCCGCAAGGACATTTGGTGTTCTTGCAAGGGTGCGGCGGTACTTCACGCCGGGGCAGCTTCTTACCTTATATAAAGCGCAAGTCCGGTCGTGCATGGAGTACTGCTGTCACATATGGGCTGATGCTGCAAAATGCCACCTGGAAGCATTGAACTTAGTGGAGAGACGTGCTAAGAGGCTCATTGGTGACCTTGATTTGGTTGAAACCAATCTTGTCAGCCTCGAGCACAGGCGCAGAGTAGCCAGTCTCTCGGTATTAGACGCTTTAATTCCTCCCTCTCCTTTCCACCATCGGACAACCAGGCGGTCGGCGGGTCTTCATCCCTATGTTGTCGATATTCCACGCATTAGAACCAAATGGTTTGCTTCGTCTTTTGTAATGCGTACAGCAAAGGAGTGGAATAATTTGCTGGCGTCAATCTTTCCGTCTGAATACAATCTGGGCGTCTTCAAGGCAAGAGTGAACAGGCTTTTGTTACGATAAGACAGTGCGATTTACCATCGAAGGCTGCATCACCACTTACCACCAGGTGGCATTGTGGTCAAGCACTGGCTTATAATAAGTAAAAAAAAAGTGTTCGTTCCAAATCATGCACAATTCATTGCTTTTTTAATTTAATTACCATTAGCCTATCAGCTTGACAGCGTCTTATGACTAAGTCCAGTATAATAATTTGTCCAAGGTTAATACGATAAAAATAACATGATAATATCGAATGAATTGTGTATCTTATTTATTTTGACTGATGATATCGACCGTTCAGTTCTTATCAGTTCAGTTAAGTGATAAGATACTATCATATATCACCCGGTTCAAAACACAAAACCAGTCGACATTATGTGGTCGGAACGCCGAAACGATAGACTTTTACAGTTAAGATTCCCATGGCGTACATAGTGTATAGTTTTGCCATATTTTTTATAGTTGCCTGGGTGTGTCTGTGGTTAATTCACATAATAGCATTATCGTATTCGAAATGGAAATTACACAGAACGGCGGACCGTTCACCGCCAGAGCAACCTTATCCGGGAGTTTCAATTCTTAAACCGTTAACAGGCGTCGACCCTAATTTATTCTCCAACTTGGAAACATTTTTTACCCTTGACTACCCAAATTACGAAGTGCTATTTTGTGTTGAGAATGAGCACGACCCTGCTGTAATGCTGGTCAACAACTTATTGCATAAATATTCACATATTGAAGCACAGCTTTTCATCGGTGGGATGTGTGTCGGTGTTAATCCTAAAATTAACAACATGCAACCGGCTTATTTGGCGGCAAAACATCCACTGATACTGATAAGCGACGCCAGCATTCGTATGCGAGACGATACTCTGCTTGATATGGTGCAACATTTGAAAGATGACGTGGCGATTGTTCATCAAATGCCTTTTACGTGTGATGCAGAGGGATTTGCCGGTGTTTACGAAAAGGTACACTTCGGTACTGCTCAGACTCGGATGTACCTCTTTGCTGACTTTTTGGGAATAACTTGTCATGTTGGAATGTCATCGCTTATACGACGATGCGCTCTGGAGGAGACGGGCGGACTGGCAGCTTTTGGTGAATATCTTGCCGAGGATTATTTCATGGCGAAAGAAGTGGTATCACGTGGATGGCGGATGCGTGTGGCATCCTTACCTGCGTTACAAAATTCTGGAACGCGATCGGTGGGTGCGTTACAGGCGAGACTGATGCGCTGGGCGCGGTTGAGAATCGCCATGATGCCTACTACCACGTTGCTTGAGCTCCTAAGTGAGTGCGTCCCACTTGGCGTGGGTGCTGCGTGGGCTGCTGGGCAGTTGTTCGGCGCAGAACCGTTACCGTTCTTCTTGGTGCATGTGCTTGTGTGGTTCCTGTCTGACTGGTTGATGCTCCGTTCAGTCCAGAATGGATCACCACCATTTACCAAAGTGCAGTTCCTTCTTGGTTGGGTGTGGAGCGAGTGTTGTGCGCCATTCGTTCTCGCGGTTGCTCTTCTAAGCCCTGAGATCTCGTGGCGGACTCGGTGCTACCGTCTTGAGTGGGGCGGTCGTGCACATGAGCTCAAACCCAAGTTCAAGGTTTGAGTAAAACCACTCAATTTACAAAGGCTTTAATTTGGTGAATGTGGATAGTTTTCTTTATATTGTTATGTATTTATTGTCTGTATATATGGATGAGTGTTTATTATATTAGCATAAGATTTTATTTTAATTGCTGTGTATAATTTTTGAAAACAATGGTTAATAAGTACATGTTGTTTATGTTTTGAAGAGTTTTGTATGTTTATATACTCGTAGTTAAAAAATGCGCGTTGTATTCAATTTTAGAATAACATATTTATCACCATATCACCGTCTGTAATGCAATTAAGAAACGGTTTTTGCAATAGACATTGGTGATATTTAAAGACTGCTTAGTGATTATTGTTTTCATAATACTCAGTGATCATCATCAGTGAATTATCTTTATCAGTAATAAAACATTGAAGTTCTAGGTTGGGCACTTCCAGTGTAATGAATCATTTTGTTCATTTATTTCTAGTCATTCACAAACATTTGATTTAGTCTTATTTTTCTGTAAGGAAACATGGCAAAAATATAAACATTATCTATCTATACATATGGTTACGTGCGGGATGAGTAAAAATGGATGTATTCTTCTAAATCGCCAAGCTTCTTCGGTGAGGTGGTAGGTCGATTACTCGTAGCTTTGCAAGTAGGGAATTGAGGATACCAGGCATACCACGAAATCACGGTAGATGTCGAATATTCTTGTTTGCTACGTCTTCTCACTAAAAAATATTTAGTGATATAACAAAATACTAGCGATATGTCTTTTGTTATATCACTAAATATTCTTTTCACTAAACTAAATCTAGAAAAATGAGAAAAGTTTTGATGGATAAAATTATAAAACAAAATGACAAATTAACTGATGCATTTTTATTAGATATTAAAGTTTTAGTCAACTAAACGTCTTCTGACGATGATATTTTATCTTTTTGTATTATGTGAATTCGTTCATAACAAAAATAACAAGTAAAAGTAATTTAATAATTTAATGGACCTCAAAATGTATACGTGATTCGATTAACGCTTAAGACGACTGCTAACTCCTTTTATGAAGTCGTTTATAAATCGAAAACCTTGTTATTTAAACAAGGCAGCGATTTGTGGCACCTTGAATTACATAAAACCATAGAAGTATTAGGCTATTATTACTTATTAGGTTTTTTTTAAAGGATAAGGGTGACAAACGAGCACACAGTCCACCTGATGGTAAGTGGTTGCTGCGGCCCATGGACATCTACATCTATCCTCTGTTACAAATCAAAATGTTGATGCGTTGTCACCCGTGAGGACTAAGATGGAATGCCTCATTTCCAGTAAAAAAGGTGTAATTCCTCTAAGCATAAAACATTTAGATTCTGCCAAATACATTTTTTAGTTTTGCACTAGACCTTTGATTTTTCACAATTACATTTTTACAGCCTTGCCCTCCAAATGTAACTCATCCAGCTAACTCTCGCAGTGACAGTTCAATTTGTGGCAATGAATCTGTGAATATTGTACCTGCTTTTAGAACTGATTTTCGAGGTAACCAATCCTTTAATGAACCAGCTGAAGTCCCAACTTTAAAGTTTATTTTTATCTATTACTATGCCTAAAATATTTTTGGAGACTAATGGTCCTCGATCAAAACAGTACCATTGATTTTAAAATTCCCAAATTTAACTAAACAAGCACATTTCATCTTCTCTGCACATTTCACTTGATTCTTATTAGCTTAATTTTATTCTTGTATTGCAGATTTTTCTTTAAAACACAAGAAACATATAACTTTAGACCCATAGCATTCATCTCCTATTGTATCACCAGAAATTACACGTACAGGTTGATTACAATTTTAATGTCAATGACCGCTATCGGATTCATTGCTAAATACCTTAAATATCAACCGATCTACTACATTATTGTCAGTGTCCACTGAACATTCTCTCACTTGCACTTGCACGCTATTAATTTCCATTTCATTTTACGTCGCCAGATGTTCTTCCCAGACTGCCAACTGCCCTGCATCATTCTTATTTACTGGATATTTTGTCACTTGAACGCTTTGTACATCCTAATTAAAAGGTTCTTCCACATCCACCATTTCTACATCATTCCTCTTTGCTGAATATTCTGTCTCTTGTGTGCTTTCTATATCTTTAGTCAAAGCTTGTTTCACATCAATCACTTCTGATGTATCATTCCTCTCTGTTGAACATTCTATCTCATGTTGAAAGAATGAATGAGGAAAGAATGACAAAGCAAATTTATGTTGCAGAGGTGAACGGCAGAGTCGGGAAGGGACGCCCTAGGAAAAAGTTTATCGACCAAATTGGCTATATATTGAAAATGGGCCAAATTAAGAGTACGCTTAACGAACGAGCGTGTATGCGTAGGTAGGTATATGGATATGGAGGAAGCGAGAGAGGTGTGTCAGGATCGTGCCAAATGGAAGTCCATATCTGCCTACCCCTCTGGGTGACAGGCGTGAGTGTTTGTTGTATGTATGTAATATAATAAGTGGTAAAGCGTTCACTAATCTTTTACATAGTGCGTAATACCGCGTAGTACTATTATTTATTCTGTGATACAACGTACACAAACATAATATCGAATTATCTTATTTATCTATATCGTAAAACTGATAAAACCTCGCCTGATAGTCAGTGACTCATTTTCCTGGTATAATTGAAGTAACCGTTCTTTGAAACAGTCTAATGCTCGGTTTCTGAAGTACTTTTATCGGCAGTTTATCTATTCGTTTTAAGAAAGTGCGTTTCCGAACTTCGCAATGTTTAAACTCCGTTTAAACTTAGGTTAACTTAACTGACCAATGTGTGCCGTTTATCGGTTCCACAACTTTATCACGTTTCATTTCAAGCAAACTCCATCAACTTTTAGTTTATAACGTGATATTATTAAAATAAATGACCAGTTAACGATATTGTTTAACGATGCAAATAATTTATTTTTTCTTATTCAAAGAGTTAAATACCTTTTTTTTGGCCAAGCCGGCCAGTTCATCTGCATTTTGATTATAATTACGCTGCAACGTAGCTCTACAACGTTCTTTGTTATTTAACAACAATGCGCTTTTATTTTTTTAATGTGCCACTTATATATTTTCTAACACATCAAAAACTTGTTTTGATAGAGCCTACAAATTTTTATTGTGTCACAATTGTAACTGATAAAAGTAAAAATATAGAAACATTAATGGATTTTTCATTATTAATCATGTGTATGTACGTGACACTACGCGTAAAACAAATTCCTTAAAGCTGGCACAGCCATGATGGCATAATCGACTAAAAAAAATATGAAAAATCATGCTCTAATTTGTTGCTAATTAGTTGCCATAATCAGACATTTTTTGGATTTTTTTTTGTTAATGAATTGAGCGTCTGTGTCTAGCATAAATATTCTGGCACAGCCACAGTCGAAATACTGCTAAAAACACTATGCTATGTACGGCAGTATCACAGACTATATGCTAAATACTTTCATATATATATATATATATATATGTATGCTTATTGACATCATGAATTTGTGGCTATGCTATTTTATAGTAAACAGCACAGCCGAAAAGTTATGGCTGTCCTAACTAATTAATTATGAGCACAGCCAAATTCTTAAGGTCATATAAGTATAGATTTCAAATCAGGCTATAAATTTGTGACTGTGCTAGCTTAATAGTAAACAGCACCGCCGAAAAGTTATGGCTTTGAAAAGAAGCGCTTTTATTTAGGAGTTATACAAAACTTTCAATGTACCCCACGTATAATTAATATTTTAGCGACATATATTTGCCATAGTTGCCATGCTTGACGGGCGGGTTGTTTTTTTATAGCATAAAGGTGACAAATGCGCACACAGTACACCTGATGGTAAGTGGTTGCTGTGGCTACATAAATCTACATATATCTTTTCTAAAATGCAGATGCGTTGTCAGTCGTGAGGAAAGCCTCTTCTGCTGTAAAAAGGGTCTCCGGTACTCTGCACTCACCATACGAAACACATCAGCATTAAACTGCTATTTTACGCTGGTATTCTGTGAGAGCGTGGTCCTGTCCCGGGTGACCCGACCCATTCGTTATACAACTATACAATTTATATAGCTGCAGCACGGCTCTACCACTTTTAAATGGCTCTACCACGTATAACCGCACGTGTTAATTTTTCAGTTGTTATGAGGAAAATATGTGTAAGACGCTGCTGACCATTTCCTGGTTTGATACCCTCCATCGCCTCTTACGACACCCGCGGGACCAATGGGGTTGTGGATATTGTTACACCTTAACCACAGAATAAATAATAGTACTACGTACCTTAACTAATACTATTTTATTAATTTATGGTTTTAATAGCAAAGCTACCATCAACTTCCAATCGATTTTTATTAATTAATACTATTTTATTAACTTATATGGTTTTAATAGTAAAGCTACCGTCTACTAACAATCTGATAGATGTGAGTTCCATTTTGTAAATTTACCAGAGGCTTGTTCGTCACCAAATCAACGTCAACCAAAAATTTGTACACTCTGATAGTTTAAATAAAACTGAATTTTATTCTTGAGCACTTATGAGGCAATCTAAAACGGAGCCCTTAGTTCAGCAGTGGACTTTTGTTAGGTTGTGGCGGTAACAGTCACCAGTGCAAAGTATAAAATGTAATCTTGATGAACCCTGACGAACTTATCTCCGGTGATGGCATATTATGACATAATATCTATCTAGAAAATACCGAACTTATGTTTCACAGATTGGTAGATGACAGTAACTCTATAAGCGTGGCCTGCTTTGCATACATGCAAAGCAGGCGGTTCTACACATATCATTCAAGACAAACCTATGTAAATACGTCATTCTTGAAAAGTATATTTCCAGTAGTAGATTCAAAAGGTAAATGTATAATATGTATGTAATAATATGATAAGTCGTAAAGCGATCACTAATCTACTACATAGTGCGTACTACACCCACAAAAATATCTATTTGTCATAATTATCTATATCGTAAAGCTGATATAACCTCGCCTGATCGTCGGTGACTCGTTTTCTTGGAATTGATTTAAGTAACCGCTCTTTGAAACAGTCTTACCGTTCTAAAATTCTTGTGCAAATTACGTGAGTAAGTGCTTATTGTGACGAGGTATTTCCTTTTTCTTAAAAGACTGTCACTTATAAGATTTGTTTTTATCTTGATAAATTCTTGTCGTATCGATCAAAGGCCTGTGCTAAGGTTACGATCATAGAATTTTCTATGGTTTTATACGATACTTATATATTTTTATTACCTTATTTCGTTTCGTGTCAGTCTTGATCAAACCGACTTTATTGACGTAATCCCGCCATAAGGTACCGCGGGTCGCGGGGTGTCTTACGTAGTTTGACACACCCGTCACAGAATAAATAGAATATTACTACGTAGAACAAGCTTACAGTATCTTGAAGTCTCACAGTGGTATGCTAGGGTATGGATTTAATTTTATTAATTATAGGATTCCAAGCAGATGGTAGCACCGATCCATCTTCTCTATTGAAATTAGGTGGTTTTTTCTAAAATTTAAATAGCCTCACGAATCATCTATGGTAGAACTCGGTGTTCCTTTGCGAGGATGCCTGATGTAATGGCGGGGACAATCTTGAACATGTTCGTTCACAAACTGCAGACTTCCTAAAAAGTTTTATATTATTTATTAACAAAAAGCTCTTATTTTTATTTACCTTCGATGTTGTTATTTCTTGCTTTTTTCCAAATATCTGTGATTCACCTGAACTTTCCAGACATACGAAAATACCTGGAATAGTCAGGTGTGTCACAGATATTTTAATACTAGATTCAGTGTAAATATAACAGTGCAGATGTGACCGTCAAATCGCTCAGATACTTATCAGATATAAAATTTAGATCAAATTCCTTAATGTTTTTGGAACGAACTATTTTATTGGACGGTACGGATTTGGCGGATGAGAGCTATAGGCCACAAAACGTGTAAGATTTTTCCTTCACGAACCTTTCTGACATAGTGTAGACGGCCTTGGCGAAGCAAGATGAAATAATATCCATCTCCCTCGCACTTTTTCTTGTTTTACCATGAAAGAAAAATTATTTAATTTTAAATGAAGGTTCATTTTAATAGACGCTAGTAATTCATTTATTTGTATTTGTTAATCAATAATATAATACATTTATCAATAATAATATACTACGAAAGGAACTTCGTTCCAACCGAGTGTTCCACGACACTAACGCAAGCTTTTTTTTAAATTACTAACCAAGCGAAGAAGAATTTATAAAGAGTGGCAATCACTTTTTTTTTCATAAAATTGAACTTACAACCCGCCTGATGTTAAGTAGCTACTGCAGCCCATGGACACCCGAAACCAACTTCAAACAAAGAAGGCTACAGCACCGTTGTCAATTCTGTGAACTAAGATGGAATGGCTCGCAGCCTGTATGTGTACTGGCTCTCAATTAAATTAACTTTCTCAGTAAAGCCTTCTTCACTTTAAAGTAATTTTTTATGGTTAATGAATTTATACATATCGAAGAACCGACAACCGATGGGGAAGGAAGGTTCTCGAGTGGCAGCCTCGTACCGGTAGGCGAAGAGTAGGGTGACCTCCCACGATATGGAGTGATGACCTGGTAAGACATGCAGGAAGTCGATGGATGCTTACACAAATCAAGGTTGTAGACTATGAATTTGGCTTGCTTAATGATTTTTTTTCTCTATCTTCCACGTATCATAGTGCCCGTAGCTAGCTCCATTGCATTCGCCGCGGAAACACCGGTTACATGCAGGGCTGCTATGCAATATAGATAGACATATGTACACCTTAGAAACCAAACTTAGAAATGAGACTGACATAGCCCAACGGATTAGTAAGCTGAAGTGGCAATGGGCCGGCCATATAGCTCGGAGAACCGACAACCGATGGGGAAAAGAGGTTCTCGAGTGGCGGCTTCGTACCAGACGAAGTGTAGGGCGTCCCCCCACTAGATGGAGTGACGACCTGGTAAGAGATGCAGGAAGTCGATGGATGCAGGTGGCTCAGGACCGTGCTTAGTGGCATTCCTTGGGGGAGGCCTATGTTCAGCAGTGGACTTATGAAAGGCTGTAATGATGATGATGATGATGATAATTTTGATCCCAAAACAAGGGTGTTCATGTTAAATATAGAAACACTTCAGACGAGATCGCTTAACCTATATCTTAAACAGGCTTTGATGTTTATGATTATGACTGTGCATCAAAATCACTCTAAATCTTATTATCGCGATGCTTATGTGGCTTGACAAGATATACTGTTATAACTCCAGCTGGTACACAATATTAACAATAAACAACTGCAACCAATATGTCCCACAGCTGGGTACTAAGCGGGTTATGAATCAGTGAATCTTGACGGACTTCACATATCCACGGATTTTTTTTATAGAATAAAGGCAACAAACGAGCACACGGTCCACCTGATGGTAAGTGGATGCTGTGGCCCATATACGTCTACATTTATCCTCAAGTAAGAATCAAAATGCAGATGTGTTTTGCCACCCCTGAGGACAGATGGAATGCCTCGTTTACAGTAAAAAGGGTCTCCGGTTCACTCAACATATGAAACACAGCAGTATTAAGCTGCTATTACACGCTGGTGTTCTGTGAAAGCGTGGTTCAACCCCGGTCGAGCTGACCCATTCGTGCTACAACTACATATTATATAGCTGCAGCTTGGGTTTACCACGTAAAATTATTTTCTCAGATAAGCAGGTATTCGCACAATGCTTTCTTCACCATCGAACACGTATTATTAAATCAGCACTTCATACTTCTTTTCTTAATCAGCCAGTAAAAGTCCACTGCTGGACATGGACCTCCCTCATTGAAGGGAAAATTCACGTTCGGCAGGCGCATCAACGATTGCATTAAGGTACCATTCCGTAGCCGTCCGCAGACAGCAGCAGCAGACGACGTGTCTTCGCGACACGACTGGTTTCTATGTAGTTCTATGAAATACCTTCCGTAGCTAGCGACACGTCGTTTGCCGGAGCGGCAGACATGTCGCCCGACCGCAGATCAGTAGTGTCGCCAACGCCCGAGCGACACTTTGAATTTTTCTCAAAAAAAAAATGAGTATCACCGATTCCAGGGTGTATATATATATACCTACAGAAGAGAGTACCTA